ATGTAATTTTGGTAAAATAAATGAAATACATTGGTTAAATTATGATACAGGCTTCCAATCTAGTGTCTTCATTTGCAATAAAAATTTTGCATTTTTTTGAGAGGTTTTTCCTATAGGACGGGTGCGCTCGCCAGAGAGATAGAGACGGAGAGACAGGAAGTGAGAAATCACCCCCCAGAGGGGATGGCCACGCCACAATCCCTTCTCCTCCATTCTCCTCTTGGGATCTTGGACATGCACGCACATGCACCCAGCGTGAGTTTAAGCCACTGGGTCCAGGACGCGAACCACGGTTGACTACGTGGGAGCCAGCGACATAGCCATTACGCTAACTGTTGGTCTCAAATTTTGCATATTGAATGTAATTTTTTAAAATACAAATTCATCTTTATTCAATATATTTGGGAACATAGAAGAATAAAATCATACACACTCAGACAGTTAATTATTTCAACATATGAATATATTTAGTTCAGTATTTTCATAGGCACTGATTTTGATGTTTAACTGTACTTATCTAAATGATTATCTAAATGTAATTATATTTTGTTGGATTTCTAATAATAAATAGTACTTGAGGAGAGACTTTATTATAATTATTTTAATTGATGTATAATAATTAAACATATTTATAGAATTCAATACTGGAATATTATATTTCAAACTAGATAGTATTGCCTAGCCACTGTCTAGAAAATCATTTAATTATCTCAATGATATATTACATAATGATGTAGAAGAGGATGCCAATATTTAGATGATGATAGGTCTGCATCTTAAAAGTTCTCTTACTGGGGCCAGCAGATGGCATAGTGGTTAAGTTGCTGGACTCCCACATGGCCAACGTGGTTCAAGTCCCAGACCCAGTAGCTTAAGACTCCCACCAGGTTCATGCTCATGCATGCTCAAGATCCTGGGAGGAGACTAGAAAAAGGACTGTGGTGTGGCCATCCCCACTGGGAGGTGATTTCTCACTTTCCCTCCCATTGTGTCTGTCTTTCTCTTGCGGTGACCAGTGTATGTGCCCTAAGGCAAAAACCTCTAAAAAATAAAAAAAAAGTTCTCTTATTTTTCCAAACCCACAGAATTATCCCACAGCTTTTTAAAAAGAACAAGCTTATATCCAACTTTTCAACTGTCATATAATAATTATAAAAGGTAAATTAATTTAGGCCTCTCATCAGTACTTCATTTCCCAAAATTAGTATCTCATTTATTTTGGTGTCTTTTTTTTACTTAAATTACTCGATTACATCATGCACAGTATGTATGTATCATTATAAAACAGTAGAAGCAGTCGTGAAGCTCCCAACATCTGGATTGAAACTCGTCCAGTGTATCTTTTAGGTACCTTTAGTCTATGTGTCATAGGAATCAAGATTATCAAGGTCATATTTTAATTTAATGACATTAAATCAAGGTACTGTCTTCAGTTAGTCATCTTCTGCATTCTCTCTTTTCTTCTGGTATAATAAAATAAAAATAATAACCATTAAGAGGCAAGGCATTTCTTTTTACATCAGCATTAAGAAAAAAACTGTTATCAGTAAGTGTTGCTATATTTTGGTTCACTCCCATAAAAGAAAAGAATAAAAATAGTGTGTGTGTGTGAAAGAGTAGGGACTGAGGAAGGACATTTAGAAGAAAAATAGGGAGGCGAAGCATTAATTGGTCAATTAAATGTGGTATTATCTTTTTTTTAAGAGATTTTTGCTATAGGGCACGTGTGCTCGCCAAACAGATAGAGACAGAGAGACAGAAAGCGAGAAATCACTCCCCAGAGAGGATGGCCATGCCGCGATCCCTTCTTCTCCATTCTCCTCTCGGGATCTTGGGCACACACGCACACGCACCTGGCGTGAGTTTTAAGCCGCTGGGTCTGGGACGCGAACCGTGGTCGACTACATGGGAGTCCAGTGACCTAGCCATTGTGCTTACTGCTGGTCCCAATGTGGTATTATCTGTTGAAGATATTTTATAGTTTTATCAACTGGACTGGGGAGAAATGTTCACCTGTTGAAATATTCACTTTGTAAGCTAAATAATGTGATTGAATGTATAAAAGAAAATGAAATAAAAAAAAGAATAAAGATGACTAACTGAAATGTTATATACCATTCATAGAGAACTGGCAATTACATTGTTATCTTTAACAGAATTGTGGTACTTGGAAAATGTCTCTATCACTGGTGGATAAGGATAATATCCACCAATAACAGTATTCTTCACTTCCCCAGAATTGGTCTTTGTCTTGATCCACTGAATAAAGTTTATTACCTTGGTCTTGTAGGTATATGGCTGGTCTCTATGACCTTTTTGCCAGAAAAATAAAACATAAAAAAAGAGAAATAAAAAAAAGGCTATTGTAACATTCTTCCTGGACTTTTTGGCATACAAAAAATTTTAAACTAAAATAGTTTCTGTTATGTCATCAAGAAAAAAAATCATGTTTATTATTCACTACACAGCAGATAATTACAATAAATACAAAGACAGTAATCAAGTTAAATACAAAGACAGTAATCAAATCTAAAATCAAGAAGGAAATTAGACATATTATAGTTTAAGTGGACTAATCAATAGCTGTCTACATGATTAAAAAACAGGATAAAGAAAAATTAATAATCTGAATTTTTCTATCTCAATGATTGGCATCTTTGAAAATGATTTTTTTTTTTTTTTTTGGAGAGATTTTCGCTACAGGGCGCGTGCGCTCGCCAGACAGACAGAGAGAGACAGAGAGACAGAAAGCGAGAAATCAACCCCCAGGGAGGATGGTTACGCTGCAATCCCTTCTCCTCCATTCTCCTCTAGGGATCTTGGGCAGGCACGCACACGTGCCCGGCGTGAGTTTTAAGTCACCGGGTCCGGGACGCGAACCGCGGTCGACTACGTGGGAGTCCAGCGACATAGCCATTACGCTAACTGCTGATTCCCTTGAAAATGATTTTTAAGTCACCTATTAACCTGAACACATTCATCACATATAAACTAAATGGCTAAAACATACAGCTCAGCATTTAAATTCATTTCCTTAAGGCGTACTTAACAGTACCATATTTACTATTAATAAAATGGGGTGTGACAAACATTATACCTTTCCTAGGATCTCCTTTTGACACATTTCTTAGTTTTCAGGATGATAATATTATAGCAAACACTCATTCCACACTGTTCCCTTATTCTCTCATTTGGAAACTTTCATCTTTATTGTTTTGACTATTATTGGAGGGGACAGAGAAAAATAATGTACTTGCAGAGGAATGAGACTCTTCTTGCTATATAGGTAAAATGTGAGATCTTGGAGCTGACATTTGACAGACATTTTTGTTTTATTTCATACTTTAAAATACTGTTAATGGAATCATTTTGTGGTATTGGGCCTAACGGTATGATATATCAAGCCATTTATGAGAATCTACATTCTCCATAAAGCAGGGATTAAAATTAACCAAAGGGCATAAATGTAATTCTCTGGTGAGTCACAATGTCACCGGCCCAGTCTGAAATAATCTGGAAGCAATATATTTCATAGGCCAAATATTCTTTTTTACAACATTCTTGAATTTTATAACATAAAAGCTAATATGTGCTTAAGGGTTCTAGTGAGGAGAAAATAATATGTTCAACAAAGTGCATACCAATAATAAATACTTGACTCTCATTTGTAATGGTGAGGTAAAGCAGTTTAGGTACTTGAGCATCATTTCTGACAAGTATCAACTGTTTTCACACAAAATGTGCCACTGTAGAAAATGAAAACACTGGGACCAGCAGTTAGTGTAATGGCTATGTCGCTGGACTCCCATGTAGTGTATAATGGTTATGTCACTGGACTCCAGGACCAACCATGGTTCGAGTCCCAGACCCGGAGGCTTAAACTCATGCTGGGCACGTGTGTGTGCATGCCCAAGATCCTGAGAGGAGAATGGAGAAGGGATTGCAGCATGGCCATCCGCCTCTGGGGGGTGATTTCTCACTTTCTGTCTCTCTGGCTCTCTCTTTCTGGTGAGCACATGTGCCCTATAGCAGAAACCTCTCCCCTCCCCCCTCAAAAAAAGAAAAAAGAAAACAAAGAAAATGAAAACACTTATAAATTTACTTTTGAATTTTAGAGGATATACCAAGATTAAGATCTAACACAATGCATCTCAAACTTTAGTGAACATAGGACTCACATGGGGATATTGTTAAAATGCAAGTTAAGATTCAGTATGTCCATGGTAGGGCCTGAGATTCTGCCTTTCTAAAAGCTTTGTGGTGTTACTGGTGCTACTAGTCCTCTGATTACACTTGGAGCAGCAAGGATATTACACTCATTTGCCTACATTTTAACCAGAAGGCTTTTCTTTGGAAAATACAATGGCTGCACCTAACTACAGTTATTTGCTTGCTGTATAGAAGGGTGAAAGAGTTGTAAGTGGGCACAACTGAGTGTGAACAGTTATTTTTTTTCTACAGAGTAAAAAAGCTTAGTTTCTTCGTGATACTTTCGCTAATTAACCGAATCTAACACTGACCTTGAAATATTCTGACTCCTTCCACAATGGGATTACACAGTGGTAATCTGTATTTGTCTATGTAAGTTTTTTTTTAAAGGTTTTGGCCATAGGGCACATGTGCTCAGTAGGAGAGAGAGAGAGAGAGAGAGAGAGAGAGACAGAGAGAGAGAGACAGCGATAAGGAAAGTGAGGAATCACCCTCTAGGGTCGATGGCCATGCTGTAATCCCTTCTTCACTCTCCTGGAATTTTGGGCATGCGTGCACACGTGCCTGGTGTGATTTTTCAAGCTACCAGGGCTGGGACTCGAACCACATTCAGCTATGTGGGAATCCATCACTATAATCACCACACTGGCCCCTCTGCAAGTGTTTTTTTTCTCTCATATATTTATCTTAATTTGACTTTATGGCTTGATGACAGGACTTAATAACACCTATTGTTTTATTTTGACCTTGTTCACCAACTTGACAGGCTAAAAAGAATACATGAAAATGAAATGATAATGTCTTTAATCTTCAACTATTTTCAAAAGCTATAAATTGTTTTTAAATATTTATCAATTTATTCCATCATCAAAGTTTCATTAATCCAACTTTTGTTTTAATTTTAACTCATTGCATGCCAATATGTGTATGATCTTACAAACTAGAAAATGAAGAAATAAAGTCTTAAAATCACACAAAAATAAATTATCCTTTGAGAATAAAATCCCACTCAATATATACTAAATGTAGCCACTCTATGGCAGAAACTGAACGATTGGAAGGTATAAAAGCATGGAGAACAATGATAGTACTGGAGAAAGTGGGGAAGGAAGGTGAAAAATGGGAGAGGGTGAGAGGTAGGGAATCAAGGGGAAGAAGAAAGGAGCAAAATATTGAAGGGACCCCAAATCGCAAGACATTTGTTGATGATAATGTATATGGTAATGTCATTGACCAGACTGATACGCAGTGTATTCATGATGGAAGAATTCATTTGGTATTCTGTAATGATACACAGTGATTGAATGTAAAAATATAAATTAAAAAAATAGTCTCTAGTATCACATGGTGGTACACTAGTAAAATGTGACACTGTGAGGCTATGCCCATAGGAAGGTTCCTGGTTCAAGTCTGGAGCCCTCACTGGGTTGGAATGCATGTCCCTATGATCCGGGGCTAGTTGAGGGTTGGAGGTGTATTGTGGCATCGAGGTTTTCTTGGGGGTGCTGTCTCTCTTGCTCATAGAAGAAATAAATACACTTAAAAAAAAATTCCCTAGGGACCAGCAGTTAGCGTAATGGCTATGTCACTGGACATCCATGTAGTCAACCACGGTTCGAGTCCCGGACCCGGCGGCTTAAACTCACGCCAGGCGTGTGTGCGTGTGTGCCCAAGATCCCAAGAGGAGAATGGAGTAGAAGGGATTGTGGCATGACCATCCCCTCTGGGGGGTGATTTCTCGCTTTCTGTCTCTCTGTCTCTCTAGTGAGCACACATGTCCTATAGTAAAAACCTCTAAAAAAAAATCCCTAGAGCATTAACTATATATTTTCTTGTTGTATCTCATATTTACCATTCCTTTATTCTGTTGCAGTGAAAATAAAGGAATTTTGTCCAAATGCTAAGAACTATCTTAATTTTTATCACTTTTCTTTTATTGCAATAGCTTACAACAAACATATGAATAGAAATGATTAAAGACGATGACAGAAATCTTAAAGAAACTTCTAAAATCTATTAAGTGAATAAATCTCATGTTAAGTGTTCTTACCACAATTAAATAAAAGTAAAAATAAATGAAGAATCCTCAAATTCTGATTTCATGGACATTAAAAATCAGTCAGGGTCAGCCAGTGATGTTTAATTTAGTTTGTAAGTATCTCTTTTATGATTACATCTTAAGTTTTACCCTAGACATCCTTTCTTATCTAAAGGTCAAACTCTGGGTAACTTTCTATAAGTTCTATACATTTTTTTTCTATAAAATTTCTAAAAGTTTTGCCTTAAAGTATTTAGTATATCTGGAATTGATATTTTAAAAATTTACTATAGGGCACATGTGCTTATTGGGAAGAGACAGAAAGAGAAAGAGAGAGAGGAGAATGTACCCCTGGATTGACTTTTGTATAGTATGAGACAAGGGTATAATGTAATTTTTCTCATATATATTGTCAATTATCTCAATTTTATTGACTAAATAATCCCTTCTTTCTTGGCGATCTTTATAGCATATCTGTTACATAAAATTCTATATGCTTAAGGCAATATATCAGCTCTCTATTGTGACTCACTTGTCAATTCGTCAAAACTTTCACACTCTCGTAAATACTGTAGCTATATAATAACTTGATATTCGTAGGATAAGATCTCATTCCCTCTTTAGCTCCCTGTTCTTTTTCTTCATACTTGGCAATCCTGTGCTCACACATGAATTTTAGAATCAGTTTGTGAGTTTTAGGAAAAAAATCAGATGGAAAGGCACTGAATTTATAGATAAATTTGGAAGGACTTGACTTATTATGACATAGAGACTGAGTTCCTATCTTTGAGCATGGGGTATTTCTTCATTTATTTAAGGCTATCTTTGTTTTTTTCCCTTTGGAGAGGTGTTTTTTTTTTTTTTTTTTTTTTTTTCTATAGGGCGTGTGTGCTCTCTTATTTTTGCTAGCGGGTGTGTCCACTCACCTGTGCTCGCCAGAAAAACAGAAAGCGAGAAATCACCCCCAGGGGGGATGGCCACGCTGCAATCTCTTCTCCTCCATTCTCCTCTTGGGATCTTGGGCACACACACGCACGTGCCCAGCATGAGTTTAAGCTACTGGGTCCGGAACTCAAACTGCAGTGGATTACATGGGGGTCCAGTGACATAGCCATCATGCTAACTACTGGTCCCTATTTAAGGCTATCTTAATGTCTTTCAATTATGTGTCACAATCACAACTTACACAAGTCTTACATATTTTTGGTGACATTTATTTCTGGACATGTTACAGTTATTTTGACAATGTAAATGATTTTTAAATTACAGTTTAAAAATTATTGGAGTTACCCTCCAAAGCTTATCCATGAGTGGGAGAGGCAAAGACTCCGTTGGAGCTGGAACTAGTGCTTTCAGGGACTAAACTAATGAAGAATTTTTGCTGAGACTTCATCCTCCAATGCCCATGCATGAGTATGTAGCCCCCCACCCCCATATATTTTTCTCTGTCTCTGTCTTTTCATTTTTAAATTTATTTTTATTTTTTAAGGTATTTTCTTGGCTTTCATATCCTCCCTTCTCTTGGTAATTCTTGCCTTTCCTCCCTCTGATCTAGGAGAGGAAAAGACTCCATTGGAGCTGGAACTAGTTTTTTACCTTTTTTTTCTTTTTCTTTTTTTGGAGAGGTTTTTGCTATAGGGCGCGCGCGCTCGCCAGACAGACAAAGAGAGACATAGAGACAGAAAGCGAGAAATCACCCCCCAGGGGGGATGGCACGCTGCAATCCCTTCTCCTCCATTCTCCTCTCGGGATCTTGACCATGCACGCACACGCACCCAGCGTGAGTTTTAAGCCACCGGGTCTGTGACACGACCCGCGGTCGACTACGTGAGAGTCCAGCGACATAGCCATTATGCTAACTGCTGGTCCAGAAACTAGTTTTCATTAAAAATAAATAAATAAATATTTTTGTAAGGGTTTTTTTTTGCATTTTTTTCTTCTCCCCCCTCCTTTCTGTGTTTTCTTTCCCTTTTCTTTACCTTCACCACTTTGCTGCTCATCCTTCACACACTGTTTAAACAGGTCTAACTGAAACAAAATTAAACACCTGAATATTATTAAGATCAGAATATTCTTTTATTCCAGCAAGATTATCCTTCAAATGGAAAGAAAAGACAAGAACATTCTCTGATAAACAAAACCTGAAAGAATTTACCAACACCAGACCAGTTTTCCAAGAAGTTCTGAAGGGAATACTGTATCAGGAAAAACTAAATACAGACACGTATAAAAAAAAGAGTTCAAAAACAACCAAGAAAATGGCCAACTTAATGGTAGGGACAAATCCAGAGTTGAATATTATCTTCCAGAACTTAAAAGTAAAGACCAGACCATGGAACCAGCAGTTAGCGTAATGGCTATGTCACTGGACTCCCCTGTACTGCAGTTCACGTCCCAGACTTGGTGGCTTAAAAATCACGCCGGGTGCGTGTGTGTGCTTGCCCAAGATCCCAAGAGGAGAACAGAGGAGAAGGGATTGCAGCATGGCCATCCCCTCCA